GGCAGCTTCGTTGGGCGGAGCACCCCCACACTCCCTCCGCCCCCCTGCAACCCCATGAAACTGTGTAGGAGTGACCCTCTGGCCCCATGTGCTAGGGAGGTTCACACACACACACACGTGTACTTGACAGACACTCCGGATAGATTGTGTTGTTGTTGCTGCTTTCGTTAAGCTATTTGTCGATTCAAGTACATCATACATGTTAAACATGCACCTCATTTGGCGATTCTTGTTCATCATAATTCTTAAACATGCCCTTTCATGTGGCGTTTCCGGCTTATCATAAATATCTTAAGCACGCCCCCTCGTGTGGCGATTCCGCTTCATCACATGTCTTAAACACACACCTGTCCCCCTGTCATTGGGGCAGGGACCAGGGACCAAAGGACCAGGCCACCAGATGACCAGAAGTTCCAAGGGCCCCACACCAGAGCCAACGTTAGGAAACCCAAAAACCCCGGACCCACAAGACACGTTCAACCAGAAGACTCTCTCACACTCAGTTCTGCTGTTCCCGTGCCTGCTGGATTTTGGCATCTGCCCCGTGACCTTTGAAACTCTACGATGCATGTACAAGCCCACAATGATACACACAAACGACAGGCAATCCATCTGGGGTGATCTGTGCTGCTCACTGCTCCTCGATTCTCTGAGCCTTCTTCAGGTACTGCAGAGCCGTATGAAGCCTCATTCTCAAAGCCATGCAGAGCCATGAAAGTGCTACGCTCTCGCTGCCCTGCAGCTACTGTACTCCTACGAAGCTGAACAAGACTCCAGGAAAGCGTTTGACTGTGACTGATGACACAAGTCTTCTTCCCTTGTCCCAGATCAAGAAGTCGAGAAGCTTTCCAAAGCTCTTGTAGAAGCAGCCCATGTTGTTGTAGGTCACCTGGACAATGCTCATGTGTATGACAGATACATGACGACTGACAGCCGGCGCACTGCTCTCAAGACGAGGCGAGACTCAGCATTCATATGCCTGAGACATAAGCGAATGGAAGGGAGTGAACCTCGCACCTGTGGCTTAGGAAGTGGCAGATTGGCTGGGTCTGTCAGCGCTTCTGCTTTCTCGAAAAACTTGCACGAAACCTCTGTGTTGTTGTCCTGCAGACACCCATGCACGACGAATATGCAGTGCAAGCGAACGCACGTGACCATCGGAGCGAAGCGAGCCTTCAAATGCTTCATTCCCAGGGTGTTGTAGCCTGGACACTGGACATGTCCCACTTCGCACAATAACATCTAGAATCTAGAAGCGAGCTCGACTGTCGAAAAAGTCTTTGTCTCTGTGTATCATCACATGCGAGACATGAACTTCCATGCACGCCTATAGCCAGCCGCTCGAAGAGCGTCGATAACATGGTGTCAGGCATCTGCTGCACTGTTGCCTGGAAATCTGCATGGAAGTGCTGTGCGTTGCTGGGTGGATATGCTGGAATTACAAGGATGGCTGGAGTGAAATAGGGTTGCCTTGCAGAGGGAAGACAAAAGACCGAATGACAGAAAAGTAGAGCCGGTGATCCAAGACAAGAGAGTCTGCTGTTGGTTGTAGGTACACCAAGGATGCCAAATGAGAGATCTGCTTCGAACCAGTTCAACTAGAACCACTGATCCAACAGTCAGAACTGAGTGGGGGATGGTCCGATGTGCAAGATGGGTACAGAAAGCCGACTGGGTTGGTAGCGGAAACTTTTTAAGGTTCGGTGGACCAGCTGCACGGACACAGACCTCGTAATCCCCCTCTAGGACCGTAGGATATCTCTACTATGAAAGGCTTTGGCTCCGAATCCTGAAATTGGCAGTTGAGGAGGTGCCGGGCTTTCGGCTTAATTCCTCTGAAGCTGGCGAGACATGCAGGTTTGCATCTTTGCATTCGGCACCCACCTGCTCTGCCCGCAGCACGGCTTCCAGACACTGGACGGCGCCATCGTGATCGCCAGCAGACTGTGCGAAACTGCACTCCAACGCCGTCCACCAGTTGTTGAACTTGTTCAAAACAGGCTGTTTTGCAAAGACAAAAAGGCAGGCGGTGACGCAGAACTGGCCGCCCACAGCGGCAATTTACAATCAACATACCGGCGACTCAGCACAAGTTATGGACTGACGATGAATGCAAACTTATAGCTTCCAGGAGTGAACGATGACAAGTTAGTTACTCAAAGGAGAAAACGTGCGTTGTTGTTGAGTTTCGGCGACGTTTGCAGGTGCCTTGGGCTGGATTGGCAAAGTGCAATCACGCCACCTCCAATTTTCAGGCCAACGCAACATCACATGCCAAATGCTAAGGCGAGTGACTTGAGGCATTGTTTGTCCCATTTCATGCCGCCTGTCCGGGGCTGTCCCTTAGCATGCCCGGTGACCGGTAAAGGAGCCGTCCCGGCCGGCACTATTCCTGGATCTGGTGCGCCAGGCTCACCGGTGCCGTTCATCTTGTCTAACACATCTCCGATGGCTTTCTCCTGAAGCATGGAGCAAATCATCCGGCGGTCTATCTGGAAGAGCTGGACACCCAAGCCCATGCTTGGATAAGGTGCACCGAACCCCACTCCCCCGGCATGTACAGAGCTCTTCGCTTGAACAAGTTGTGTGTTCAAGGTTGTCGGCGAGATCGGATGGCTTCAAGAAAGCTGCATGTCTTGGAGTTTGGCAATCGACACGTTGTAGCCACGTCGAACATAACCCTTCCAAAAAGGCGGCTGTGGCTGCCGCTGTACCGCAACAAGAACCGTGATGCAACACTGACTGAAGGATACTGCATGTCATGGACATCCCAAAAACAACACTACCACGCCCACGACATGCTTGAACGAGCGCGGTTCTCTCCCGGTCCAGTGGTCGTGCATCGGAGGCGACCCGCCCAGGCCCTACTGTAGTGCTGCAACTGTCGCAGCCTGTGCCCCGGTGACCAGCCTGCCGCTGCACAAACTCCCTTTCAGCCTCGATGAAAGGACGAAGCCTGACCCAGGCACCAGCTGGAGCCAATGCAAGTGCGTCAGCGCGTCTCAGACTTGCGACTTGGTGGCGACACGCTGGGAGCCCAACGCTTCCTGCGAGTCTCCCTCCATATCCTGTGTGACAAATGCAAGCAGAAACCCATGATGCCAGAAACTCCGAGCCTCTTTCAGAGCGGGCTGAAGCCTTGTCTTCGCTACTGTCCTTGAACACCCTTGTTACCGGCGCGGTATCAAAGAACATCAGACATGCCATCAACAATGATCACCATGAGACTGACATGCAGAAACCGTTTTGTGCTGCATCATATGACCGCAGAATGCACATTCAAACCCAACGGCACTCCAACTAATGGGAGTAATAGAAGGCATTATCAAGCATGTCGCACTAAGTCTGCGAGTGCTTTCACACTGAGATCGTCAGATGCCACTTGCAATAGCATATCAACGATAACCGCAGCAAGCCCGTTGCACATTCGCGCGTCTCCTCACGATCTCAGCGAGCATAGCATGTTTGGACATAGCGACGCATCTTTGTGACGGTTCACTTCTTGTGAACCATTCACGAATGCGCGCGTTTCCCTGTGAGCTCAGATGCAACAAAACAGTGCAGCTGGGATCACAGCTGTTGCAAGAATCCAGATGCTTGCTGACACCAAGCCAGGCCGCACATTATGGCTTTGGCTACAAGCTGCCATCATCACAGAAAATAGGGAACAAGCTGCCGAGGCGGAACCTTGACTCACACACGCAACATTGGATGGTCGACCATTGCAGCTCTGTTCACCTCCGCGCCATCGCCGGGGTCCAGGCAGCCGAAGCTGAAGCTGGAACTTCCTGAAATATTCGGAACCTGTCATGTGCTTTGACAGCTATGGAGCCATAAGTATGGCATCTCAGCAACATGCCATACATACTCACGCTGGTTCCTTTCGTCGATGTCAAGGATGGAGGCGACCTTAGGTGTAAATACACAGATGGCAGTCTCGAAAAAGAACTGGTCCAACTCGCTTAGTATGTGTTTCTAGCCGAGAACACTGCATTTCCACATCGGTAGCAATAATTTGGAGCCGACCTGAGCTGAACAGACGTGTCCGTCTTAGGCGCACACATGCATCAGTGCCTACGCATGTGTCGGCCGTCCGGTTTTTAGCCCGATGCCAAACTGTTACCAACAGTCCCGTCTTGCTTTCCTGCTGCGAGTCGCTGAACATGTACCTAGAAGCGAGCGTTCTGAAGGAGTAGGACAAGCACATTACGATCTGCTGGCGCACTTGTACCCTTCCTGGACAAGCTGGTGCGCCCTGGCAATGAGATCCAAGCCGTTGAGACCTGTGCGCTCCAGAACTTTGCAAGGATGCAAGGATAACACAGGAGGACCCACGGCGTCTAAGAGGACTGACGATTGAAGTGTTGCGTTGGCCGTTCCCCAAAAAGCCAACCAGCACCTCTCGGGCTGACCTCAGTGTCCAGTCAAATCTAGCTGCACTGCTGCCATTTGATGGCAGTCTGGGCTGCTGACTGCCCATGCCTCAATATCTTCAGGATCTGACCACACAAGATCGCCAAAGGCACCTTCGTGCGGTATCTCCTTCCGCAGCTATTCGCGATCATGTCAGACTGCATGGGCGGCTATCACGGCCAATGCAAATGTCGCAGCGACCGCTCTTTCAAAGATGCTGTGCAGGATTTAGCATACATTGCGAGTCGGGAGCAAGCCGGGAGAGCTGGGAACCAAACAACTCAACTTCGCAGACCTTGTTCGAGGTCGAGGATGGGAAAGTCCGTTGACTACTTTCCTAGATTCAGTCATGCAGCGAATCGACAAAGCATTCAGCTCGTGCATGTTTAGCAACTGTTGCTTTGCAGAAAGCTTCTCAGACAAGCAACTACAAAGACTTACTGCCGAGAACCAGCACCCAAAACATCTAGAAGCATGAAGCCGAGCCCTTCGTTGGACCAGCATTTTTCGACGCACCTCTCAGTTTTGCTAAACATGCAAGCCACTGCCACACTTTCTGTGTGCCCCCTCCGTTGTGCCCAAGCTGTGAAAGTGCAAGGTAGTGCAACAGCCGACTCGTGTCGACCAATATCGACCATGTCTGCAAAGACAGGCCGGTCGAGCGAAAAGTTCTCAAGCTGCGTGATGGCTTCGCCGCTATGCTAACTTGACACCTGACAGCCTGCCTGATCGCGACTGCATACGACACAATACCAAGTGGCGGACAAGTTGAAAGACCTCCAACTGTTGACGGGATCGTCAAAAGGAACAAAGGGACTACTTTGGAGGTAGGCGTGTCCAGACACGTTAGCTACGGGAGTGAAGTTACCATGTTGGCCCGTTTAAGAGAAACGGCTCTTCCGATGTAGTAGCCTTGGTTCTACACTATCTGCACTCAGACCTGGTAGCCAGCAGCCAGGGAATTTAAAACGCTTGACCCGGCTTAACGGGTGACCCAACACCCTTTCAAGTCCGCATGCTCTCAGGGCATGGGAGCTGCGGGGGGGCAAAGTAGAGTTCATCAAGCTTTTGTCGCTGGCGAGTGTGCGATCTGTATATTGTCTGTCCGATTCGGTTGGCGGTGCATCTGCGCGGCGATGCCTTGATTGTGCAACAGGAACCGGTGCCGCATTAAACTGACGCTATGTTCTGCAGCCTTACACAATCCGAAGCTCGGAACGTGTGCAGAACTGTTCTCACTCCCATTCCTGCACTCGATTGATCGTGCGGATCTGATCAAGGATCTTGACCTGACACGATTTGAACAGCCGGGTATTTGTCAAATGCTGCATGTCTCTCCAGGCTCGGCACGTCGGGTGAGAGTCCTCCATGGACACAGAAAATGGAATTTTCCACCTTGGCCAACCGCATCAACTATGAAGATTCGAAGACTCATCGTGTCGACGGGCTGAGTATCCTGCAATTGCAGACAAGGTGAGATAATCAAACACCTCCGTACAGTACCTCGCAGAATCACTGTGCTGTCAAGATCCTGCTGAACAGGCGGTGCGGACAAAAGGCATTCCTGAGGGCAAGGCTTCCACGGGTTTGCATTTCCGTATTTTCGCAGACATTCATCGTAAAATCCGTAAACCTCCATTCAAAAAAGACTATTGCACAAGAACCAAACTCAACATGTGGTAAGTCGAAAGCCTGCGTGATCTGGCGGGATTCGTGGTTACCACGAAGCAATGTGATGCTGGCCTCGCTGGATTTGTGCTAATTATGTAAACCCCGAGCCCAGTGGAAAGTGCATGCAGAGGCTCCGGCAGGATATCGCAGCTTTAACAACATTAGCAACTCAAAGGTCTCAACGCTGTTGTAGCCTGCAGCTGCGCCAAACACAAATCATCCAGGAAAGCAGAATCATGAAACCAGAAGCAACAAGCCACATCAAAGAGCCAGCCTCGGTCAACGAAATCACCCATAAAGATGTAGTTTTTCTCCTCAGATACAGCACCGCATCCCTTGAAGAGCTCCAGCATCACCCGTTGTGCATTCAGATCACCGGAATTTGCCCACCGATGTTGAAGAGCTCCAACAAGTCGAAATATTGACCTTGAAGCGACTATCTTGAAACGCCAGAGACCGAGGTCTCGCCAAGCGCCGGCTACAGGACTAGAGGATGAGTGAGTCGGATAAGCTACGGGATTAGGCCGGTTAAGGGCATCGCATGTTGCATGTAGGAGCTCAACGACAGCGAGAAAGCTTAATCACGAAAACTCGCATACTTAACAGCCCTTTAAGCATAACGTGCGAATCCTTCAGCCTCAGTCAGAACGTTTAATGCATGCTATTTTCCAAAAAGAACCTGAAGCAGCAACCAGTCAACTCTGGTAAACTCAGGTCTGGGCCATGAATGTCACCACATATCCTTACAAGTCTGGTCCACTGCTGTCAACTGTTAGCACAACTTTCCATCTGCCAAGTGAAAAACCGAGATCCCTTCAAGAAAGGCTGAGGCATTGCTGACAAGTCGCACGACTGGCAACTGCACGGGTTGCACATTGCTTTCCTTCACAAAGCAAACCAGTTGCAACAATAAACTCAAGGGCGCAGTTGCTCTACTTACGATTTCCCTTGAGCAGTTGACCTCGATGAGGATGTTCTTCAACTGCTGACCTGGCTCGTCCGGCATCTGTCCGCAAGACATACAAGTGCCGACATATGCAAATCGGGTAACAACGAGTGAGTGACACGCAAAACTGCCAATGGTTCATTCTGCATGACTTCGGACACAACGTAGTCAACAATACCAACAAGCCCGGCCCACAAGCAAGCTTCAGCACTCGTTCCGGCAAAATTTCTGGCACGATGTCGCCATCGCGCTTCAGCCTCGAAACATATGCGGCCAGAACCGATGTTGTTTGCTGCGAAAAGCCAAGTGCCCGACTTGTGAATCAGCTGGTCCAAATCAAAGTCGCCGCCATCTCCCGGCAAAGTTGCCACGGCAACGGCCATTGCGGTGTATTGAAAGTCGAAACCGTTAAAGATACTTGCCTATGATGCAAGCCGAAGCTGTGACCGCGATAATGCGAAGCGGGATTTGTGTGAACATCACCACAAAAAACTCCAAGTAACCCGCATTGCAAATCTTCCAACCGCTCCAAAGTTGTACTCTCCATTGCTTTGTTGGCAGGTAACCTGAACTTGCAAGGACACCGACAACACACATAAACATGCTCACAAGCAGCCGGGCCTTCGAACAACATATGCAAGCCGCTGCGGATCTTGAGTTGTCCCCATGCTGACATGTCTCGTCAATCTGCGTGAAGTTGGAAAGTCAAATTTATCACCTTTCTGTGTTCGAACATTTGTGCGAGATTTTGCTGAATATAAAACGACTCCATTTGGCGGCAATCGAGCACAAGTCATCGGTGTCATTCAATGCATGATCTTTATCATGTCTTTCAGCACACACGCTCACAACAAGGCTCACCTATCCGGTCCTACCGAAAAACGTCTTTGCAAGATTTCGCCTGTCGGTTCATGTAGGGGAAACCTTGTGTTTGGCGTTCATGCTCCCCTTCGCAGGAAGGAGATCTCGGTCAGCCGTCTCAAGTGCGCGTCCCCGCAGCAAAGGTACAGGACGGACAGAGGCTTGTGGGGATCGCTCCCTGCGTGAACGCTTGCATGGACTTGATCGAGAAGTACATCAACCGAAGCGATGTGGGTGTCACTAACCGCATACCGCCCACCTGCGCAGCAAGATGTGCGCGAGGTGGGAAGACCACCTTCCTGCAAAAGCTTGGAGAGAGACTGGCCGAAGCGCAGTACCTCCCCATCTTCGTGTCCTTCAACGGGGAAAGCCCTGTCAAACGGCGGGACAACGAGCTAGCGGACGCGTGGCTGTATAGGACTATTGCGTACGCACTGCTCCCGGCCGACAGTAAGAAGCTTCGTCAGGATGTGGCAGACGAAATCGGAAATACCACGTGTCAGAAGGAGACTCTGCGAGCCTACTTGAAAGCGGTAGCGCCCCTTATTTTGAGCACACTTGAGCTGCGGTACATGTTAAAGTTCAGATTGTACAAATCTACAAGAGCTTACTCCTAGACGTGACTATACAGCATACAGTAACTTAGTGCATACTTGTGGACGCGGTTTAGCACCCCCCTTCGGGAGGCTCGTTCCACGCAGACTACCGACTTTAGCCGCGGCCCGGCTCAAGCTCAGTACTGCTCCTTGCTCTCAGCCTTCAAGGGCTCTGAGAAGCTCTCTGCTAGCTGTGCACTGCTCGCGCTGTGTGTTTGTTGACTGTATGTTTTCTTTGGTCACGCAAGAAAGTCTCGAATTTCAATGGCTATCCTGGTTCAGCAGGACAACCGTTCGGCATTGGGCTCATTTACTGTACATACATCATCCCAGCGTCAGCGCTGCGATAAAGCAGGACGAAAGAATCACCTCTGGCAATCTCGGCTTCCACTCGCGGTGGATTGCTGCCACTTTGACTTCCCTTGTTGTAAGGGCACTCCAATGCTTCCTTCGCCATTGCTGGCCCCAAATGCTTCGTCAAAGCATTCGCAGGGTTCTTGGTCCCAAGCACTTTGTCTACAAGTACTTGTTTTCTTTTGACCATCTGTTGCAGTGCCATTTCATACAGCTCCAGGTGGCGGATCTTGCCAACTCCGAGCCTTTTCGACATCTGCAATGCAGCACTTGAGTCTGTCCACATCTTTGGAATTAAAGTCCCCACTCCAAAATCATGTTTGCAGAGGTTCTGGAGGAACTTCAGATGTTGCGCTCCTCGCACCATGACTCTGTATTCCGCTTCGCCAGAACTCGTAGCGGGCACTCCTGGCTGTGTCTGAACGCATGAGTCAATCACTGCACCACACAGGGTGTATACTTCCCCTCCTGTACTCTTCCGAGTCTCTGGACACCCGGCCCAATCTGAATCGACAAATGCTTGTAGGCTCCACTCCCCAGGTGGATCTGAGCCGGGAGTAACTTGCACGATGCTCACCACATCTTGCGTCCCCTTTAGATATCGGCCAAGATGCTTTAGAGCTTGCCAGTCAGCGAACCTCGGCTTCTGAAGCCGTCTCGCTAGCTCTTTCGCTGCGTAAGCAATATCCCGCCGATCTTGGGCCAAGTACATCGCGCATCCAACTGCGCTTCTGTACACGCTTGCTTGCTCTTCCGGGAGCAACTGTTTGTTCTCCTCTGTCAAGTCAAGCTTTTGCCCTGGTGATCCCACTTCTTTCGCATCTTCCAGATGCAGCAATGCCAAAATGGCCTTGGTATGTTTGACATCTGGTTTTGTGATGATGGAGTTCTCTGTTCTCAACTTTTCCCTTCCAAGGCAACCGATTCGATCACAGTAGTGGTTTAGTCCATCTTCGAAAGACTTGTCAAGCCCTTCATCTGGACCTGTGGCTCTAAAATCGTCCACATGATGAAAGAAAACTACATTTGTCTTTGCACAAAGGAAAACTGTAGCATCATAACTCCCAACTTTGAAATCGAAGCCATGCTTCCGCAAGTCTTGTGTGACAATCTCTGCCAGGCGATCTCTGTACTGACATCCTGCTGGTCGCCTCCCGTACAAATTTGCATCAAGTTGCAACACAACGTCCTTGAAGGTGCAGCCTTCGAAGTCCTTTTGAACCTCTTCTGGTTGGTCTAGCAACCAGCTCCAAAATGTTTCCTCATACTCAGATGGAGGGTACACATAAACGGGTTGGCTGCAGGAATCACCTTGATCTCTCGCGTGCAAAAAGGCGCTTGTAGCGTCTACAGATCTTGTGTTCCAGTTGTTTTTTAGCGCAATCACCTCCAGAATTCTGTGAGATGCTGGTTGTGGTGTTGGACTGAATGTTTCACCATCAGCTTCAACCCCTGCTCGCTTTACATCATCCAACTCATCCAGACCACATGTGGACAAAGACTCACTCACACTGCACATGACCATTCAAACATGCCGCAGACAATGCAACAAAATCCAAGACTCTTTTCACCTCCTCGGGCTCACAACCAACTTCAGCTTCCCTGCTGGACACTCCAACAAAACTTCTGCATCCGAACTAGCGGAGTCGCTGCTGACTTCCCCTAGCTTGATCTTAGAGCTTGCAAATTGCATCTGCAGAATCCTCTGTTACTGCAAACAAGGGAATGATCGCCGAGTATTTACCCTGAAAACTCCAAAACTCTTTGCAGTTCCAAACCAGACCTGGCGACAGTGTATAAAGGTGTTTGCTTTACAGGCCCGTCCGCTTCCAGCTGCAACGTCCAAGACTTCTGTTCCCTTAAGGAGACTATCTTTTGAAAGACGAGGCTCCATGGAACCTGTAATCATGGGTTGATCTGCCGGCTCGATGCTTGAGGATGTCATTTGGACCTTTTGTCCGGAATCGAGATTTGCAAGCACAATCCAGCCGGCATCTGAAACGAGGCTACAACCCAGCCTGCATCGAAACAAGGCATTTACAGTGCTAATATTGTGCTACAATCAAGTGCTACAATCCAGCACAATCTAGCGACAAGCCGGAACGAGGCACTTCCAGTACTAGTGTTGTACTACAATCAAGTCCAATCTGGCCTACAATCCAGCCAGGACCCCAAACGAGGCACTTCCAGATAGATGGCAAGAACTCAGTGGTTGGAAAGAGGTCCGGATGGCAGATTCTGGCAGGAAGGTTCCTGGCAGGACTTAGTGGCCAAAGATGATCACCAAAAAGTGGGTGGAAGTGCGCGAAGTGTGCGGACGTGTGCGGGTGTGTGCGGCAGACGGAAGCCAAATGCGTTTAGGAGACGTCGGGATATGCGTCTGTTTGGAGGCGAAGGAGGAGCAGCAAGCCGAATTTGCCTCTAGAAAATGCGTTTCCAAGCCATGAAAAATGCATTAGGGGCTCCCTGGAACTGAAGCAGTTGCAGCAGGAATTTCGAGTTTTAGGACGGTATGAAGCTTCAGATTCCCCGGAACCTCTTGACCGGACCTTAACGCCACCCAGTTCTTCGTGGGCTCCACGGCAGAACCGGAACTTTGGCGAGCAGCAGCTCCATCACGGCACGCAAGATGTCTGCGTCGTGTCCGTCCAGCCGCAGGTTCTAACAACCAAAACGAAGCTCTTCAGTACCAATGTTGTACTACAATCAAGCACAATCCAGCACAATCCAGCGACAATCCGGAANNCTGCATCCGAAACGATGCACTTCCAGTGCTGAGTGGGATGGTTCAGAACTTTGAACTGCTTCAAAACTATTCGGATCCCGCTAACGCAACAGCCAACTGGAATCACTTCAATTTGTTCCGGGCACCAACGTAGCTGTGCAATTTGTCCGTAGTGGGACTCTTACCGCACTTTCCAGACTCTAGAACACCATTCTGATGGAGTCGGACAGCATTGTCTGCGGCAAGACCTGCACAGAGCCGCCAAAACGGCTGCTATAGATTCCTATAGATGCTCCAAATCTCCGCTCAGGGACCTACTGGGACCAGACGGATGCAAACTGCCAAGTAGCCAGGTTAATTCATAGCAGAGTAGGAGCCAACAACACCCTTCCTGGAGAGAAGACGGTCTTCCAACTGCAACTGCCACTCTGTACCTTCCTAGTAGTAAAGCAATTCGAAGCAATCTTACTGAGCGCAGTTGGCTACTGCGCATCGAATGCTAATCTGGAAGCGCTCTGTTTCAACAATCTTCAACAAACAACTCTTTTAACAAGCTTCCGCACAATTTACAATCGTCACTCAACAATAGATCTCGTAAAAGTGCTCCACCTTCGATTCTTAGCTAAGTAATTCTTGGTGCCCTAAGAGTCAGCCAATTGCTGATGTTTTCGTGCATTCCGCTTCTTGTCAGTAGACTACGTTCGCGGCTTTGGAAGTCTCAGAGAGAACTTGAAGCCTTTTTCAAGCTCCTTTGAGAAGAAGGACTTCTTTTTGGCAATCTTTTCGGTTCCAACGCGCAATATTTCAATCTAGGAAGATGCTTTAGGCACTCGTTGGTGGGGCATTC